GTGTTGCATACAACACTAATTTATTATTCTTGATAAATATTTACTAAATATCTGTTTTTCCCTAAAGGGTGAGAAACTAGAAAAGTTAAAAAAAAAAGAAAAGAAAAAGGATTTTAACCAAACCAAACCGAGCTTGCAATTTATTACGAGGAAGACATACATAAACTTGAATCAGGTAGAAAGGGGTGAGTAAAATTGTCGATTGTCATAAAAGATCCCAATCCCTACATGAAATCCAGAACTCTGGAGAGGAACATGAATTCACAAGATCTATTTTGTAACTTGGAGGCAAATGAACCCCTGCTGGGTTGCTTGCTAGCAGATAGACTTTGGGCAAGTTATTTTAGTTCTCTTAAATATTTGTGTGGAAGTCAATTAGGAAGAAGAAATTTGAATGAGAGAGAAGAACCTAGCACAGTATCTACCACAGAGTAAGTTCAAACAAAACTGCTTCCTTTTCGTTGACATCTTCTCTGGCTATTTATTCTCATCTATGGAATCTTTTATTCGTGACATTTCTGTGCGGAGCTTTCCAATTTCTGCTCTCATTTCTTCCTGGATTTTCTAGATCGTCTGATCCATTATTTCTTTCATGTCCTCCTTCAATTTACTGGATATCTGTCTGACTGTTTGAGTTCATTGAACATCTTCATGACTTCATATCTGAATTCTTTTTCAGAGAGGTCCCTTAGGTGAGTAGCACCTAGTGAGGCTTCTGGACTCTTTTCATGGTCCTCCCCACGTGATGGGGATTTGCATTGTTTCTTCATGTTGGTGTGGAGGTATGGGGACTGAGATGTTACACTAGATTTCTTGGTATGACTAAACTATCTGCAGCCTGGATTTCGGCTACGCCCACTTCTGCAGAAGCCACACCCACTTCTGAAGAGGCCATGCCCCACAGGAACCTGGTTGGGGGTGGGGGTACTTTCTGGGAGGGGAAGACCAGCACAGGGTTGGGGATGAAGAGAAAGAGTCTCAGGGCTGCTTTTGTCCCAGGGTTCTAGAGGATGCCTGGGGCACTTGCACGGAGAAAGCCAAGTCCTGGGTTCGAATACTGGCGGGTAAACTGACCTGGGAGGGGAAGAAGACTGGCACAACATTGGGGATGAAGAGGAACAGGCTCAGGGCTGCTTTTGTCCCAGGGTCCTAGAGGATGCCTGGGGCACTTGCATGAAGAAAGTCAAGTTCCGTGACTATTTATTCTCAATAGAAATCTCTGGACAGTTATGCCTATAGCATTGGTGGTATTTGGTTCCCAAACCCAAACTGTCTAGATGTCTTCCTTAAGGCAAAATTTCCAGATTGCAAAGTGGCATGGTTTAGGACCTATCATGATACATGGGTCTATTTTTTCGACTACATGTCTGAAGCATTTTTTCTTTTCTTCTAGTTTTCCTTCTCTGTTTCTCATTTGCTCTCCAATGCCTTTTCTCTGGTGACACCAAGCTCCCATTTCTTTGTTTCTCATTTTATTTTCCAGCACACTGAAGAAACCCCTGGCATCTTAGCTACTGGTTCTGGCAATTTCTCTTCTCTCAAGCCTTCCCAAAAAGAGTTTGCTCCTTCCATTGAAACTTACAGTGCTCTCCTGCTTGTGGCCCTTGCACTATGTTCTCTTTATAAAAATACATTGTATGGATTCTTTACCTTGTAGTCATTTTATAGCAGAACATGGGGATATCAGAGACACCTTTGTTCTGAGAACTAATGAAATCTCTGAAACAGAGGGGATGATTAGAATATGAGGAGGAAAATATCAGCAAGGTTAGAATTCTTTCTAGTGTCAGACAAGGACAAAAGTATATGAATAAAACCCTTTTTGGACATAAATTAAATAAAAATAGAGACCTTTTGAATCTTTTTTCCTGTAAAGTGCCGCTGAAATGGTGGAATTAGTCAAGTTTTTTTTATTTTATCAAAAAAAAAAAACACCCCAGAAATGCCATGGTTAGCATGGGTATTAAATTTTCTAAAAATGTATTTTATTAAAGATCTTTTTATTTGTTTTTTTGGGGGGGTAATACTTGAATGTGTTTAAGGCTCAGTACTGTCTTTGCACTCACTGGAGATTAAATGGGGTGTCAGCAATTGGATTCTAGTTACCTCACGCAAGGCAAATGCCCTACCTACTGTAATATCTCTTCAGCTCCAATATTGCAAATGTTTAGAGCTTGGCTTACAATCTCCCTCATAATAAAAATGGCCTCAACTGTGTCTTCTACCTGATTTTTATAATCTGTGTGTTCTCCTCTGACTTTTACTTAGAAGAAATATTTTGAGCAAAATCAAACCATTGGAGCTTTTTTAAAACCAAACTTTGTTTTTTCTATGACTGCAACTCTAAGTATATAGAAGAAACACAGACATTTAATTAGTAGAAAATATTTTTATTATACAGCATTATGAAGAGTATTTGACAAAAGGCAGTTATGAGCTAAGGAAAACACTTTTACAAGAAGCTGAACAACTAGTTCAAGCATATACACTGACGTGAAGAGTTTCTGCCCTTTTGGTATAGGATATGTATGGATACATCTCCAACTTTGAAAAATTATGATATAAGAGCTATTATTCTATTGTATTCAGGAAGTCTCTTAATCATCATAATAATAAGCATTCAGAAAAATAGTTTAATCAGTCTTGATATGTTCACCAAATGTCTCAAACCCAAAGCTCAGAACACATTGATATATTATCTGAATAGTTTAAGCAGTTTTCCAGATATAGTCTTACTAAAAAAAGTCTATATTCACAGGCTCTGTGATATCTAGGACATACAGTAGTGAAATTAAGATGTAGTAAAACCTGTTTCACTAATAATAGATAGCATACTTCTTTGGGCTAGTCTGCCAATGAGTGAACCATCTATTAAATGTTTTTCTCAATTGACTTCATTACATTGAAAATATGGAGCCAAAACCCACATTTCTACCATGAGCTCTTTCTATCAAATATACTAGAAAACAATTTTTTAAGGAAAGAAAGTCAGTTGTTGGTATGGACCTAACTACACTTGGCAGCAGACTAAGGAAGGCATCAGAAACACAGACATTCCGACTTAAGTGTTGGTATTAAATTTTAAACAAATGATACGGTGGGAATTTAGAATCTAAAGTGATTTTCTGCTGAGTGTAGAGGAGCTTCAACATGAAGAAAGCAAATTAAAATAGGACTGAACATAAGGTATAAGGAAAAATACTTAAGAGATGAGGATCCATTTCAAAAATAATATAAGAAATCAGAGGAGCAAGAAAAATCACTTTATCTGGGATAAGAACAGAGGGTAAAAATGAAAGAATTGGACAATAAGTATATGGATCTTCACAAATAACAAGAACAAAGGGAAAGTAGAAGCAGTGAAAATGTATGAATAAAACATACCGACGTAGAAAGTAAAAGTGAGAAAGTAAGAAAAAATAACTAGAGAAATTATGAGCCTACTTAGAGATTGATATATACTGTAAGCACACCGAGCTCAGGTAGCTGTGCAAATTCCTTATAGAAAATCTAAAGTAGCCTGATATCTAAATACTGTCATTTTAATCTTACATTTTGATAATGATGTGTTTACAAGTTTATAAAATGAACTTTTTATTAGTGACACTTTTCATAAACTTTTAATGTAGCAAATTGTCAAACCACTTTATTAATGATAAATTTCCACATCGTAAGATATCTGAAATGTGTCTCTTAGAAGGACTGTATGATCTACACGGAAAACATCAAACCACAGCACTCAAACTTCCAAAGACATTCTGTAGATATTAGTGACAGTGACATATAAAACAATACTGGAACAGAAAAGTATCTATTCTATAGCCAAAACCAATCTTCTAGTTGCTGTTAGATTGACATTACATTGCACAAATTTTATTATTATATGTATACAAGGACACAAGAACACATTCACTCACTAGTTACAGGAACTTCAGTGACAAGAGGAAAGAAGTATTTGTCATTTAAACCAGCAATAAATAGTTGTTATGGGTACACCGTTGAGTGCAAAGATGGATTTGATTCTGTAGTACACAGGAGAAACAATGGCACCAGCCACACAAACTGCCTGTTTAGTTAGAAGTTCAAATGGTAAATAGTATTTGCTACAGTAAATGGAAGGTGACAATTTTGCCTCCTGGTTTTTCTTTATCTGAACGGCCTCCTTGGCACAAAACACGAGTCTACAAAAGGTCTTCTGCCCCTCTCTAAACAAATCATACTCTGTCTTTGATCCCCAAACCACCAAGAGCCAAGTGTCCAAGACGGGAAGCTACTGGTGACGCCTGACACACTTAAGGACTGTCTTGCTTCTTGTTCTGTCATTTCTCGTCACTCCTGATGAAACACCTTTAGGGGTGATTATTTTGAACTTACTTGTTTTCCTAAATGGAGGAGGAGGGGAAATTACAGCACAGCAGCAGGGTGTGTGTGTGTGTGTGGGGGGGGGGGGGTCCAGATCCTTCCTCCAATGTGAGACCCCGCAAAACTGCAATTCAGTGGGGAAGCAGCAGTGACCAAAGAGACAAATGCTTGGAACCCTGGTGTCCTGGGGGCCAGCAGGGAGAAGGACAGGAGAGAGTGGAGCTACTGTCACTTCATCTGTCCTCTGCGGGGGAGTTGGAGGGGTTCCTCGCCCACCGCGACCCTTAGGAGGCAAACAGAGGATGCACTGGACTTGTCCCTTTGCAAGCTAGCAAGCAGCGGGAGCGCAGACCCACGCGCGACGGTCACAGAGACAAGCTGCTTCTTTGCTCTGGGTGAGGAGACACCCCTTCCTCCACGCAAGGCTCCGCCGGTGCCCCCCCTGCTTTCCAGAGCAGGCTTTCGCAGATGTTCCAGCCAGCGGAAGCCTGGCCAGGGGGTGCTGTGGGTGCAGAAACCCACCCATCCCCAGCTCAGGTCTCGCACTGCATCCCACCTTCCGCTCCGGTTGGGGGGGGGGGGGTTGTCCACCTCCTCCGCAAGGCCCCTCATGACATCTCGAGCTCCCGCACGGCCTCCCTACAGGGTGGACGAGCTCTGCTTATAGTCCCTCAGGATGACCGAGGCGTAGGTGACGTTGGGGGGGCTGCAGAGCACCGACTCGGACACGGGCGAGCTGGGCACGGAGCTGCCCGACGCCACCGAGTCGCGGAAGGGCGACGGCGGGGTGAGCGCGGGCGAATCCTCGGGGGTGGCCTTGCCGGTGGTGGCCCGCAGCTCGTCGTCGTCCTCCTCCAGCTCATCCTCCTCCGTGTTCCCTTCCCGCTCGTACAGGTATTCCTGCAGCAACTTGAAGCGTTCGCTGCTGTCGTCGTCGTCGTCATCGTCGTCGTCCTCCTCCTCCAGTACAGGGGGCGATGCGGGCTCCTGGCCGAAAGTGCTCAGCTGCAGCGGCAACATCTGCAGGTGCTGCGGGGCTGCCGGGGTCGCAGAGGCGGGGGCGGCGGTGTATAGGGACCGCACCCCGTTCCCGGGGACCCCCGGACCCGCCAGCACCGCGTTGAAATCAGGGATGCCACCGCCGCCTCCACCGCTGCTGCTGAAGTTGTTGGCCACGCCCTGGAGCTGGTCCATCAGGACTTTGGGCTGTGGTTGCGGCGGCTGCTGGGGGGGCGGGGGCAGGCCCCGGGAAACCCCGGGGTCGGCCAGGAACAGGGGGGTCTCCTCGGCGGTCAGGTGCGCGGGCAGAGGCGGGGTGCCCGGGGACGTGGGCACGCGGCGATGCACCACCATGGAAGGGCTGGTAGGGGGACTGAAGGCCACCGGCGGGGCCTCTTCCTCCTCCACGTTGTACAGGGCCTTGGTGCTGGTGTCCGAAAAGGTCAGGCTCTTGCCCGAGCCTTGGTAGCTCTTGGTGAGGGGTTTGATGACGGCCGTTTGGTTGCAGGCCGTCTCATTGGTCTTCACGTGCACGGAGAGGCGTTGCCACATGTGCTGGCCCTTGGGCACCTGCCTGCCACCGGGTTCAGACCAGGACACAGATTTGCCGTTAGAACTACGAAGGAAATAGAGACAGGGTGATTGGCAGGCGTGCCATGCACGCATCAGAAGCTGGACCGCCACCGCCACCTCCGAGCTGTCTGCCCCACTTTTTTTGTCCCCAACCTGTCATTGAGTGGTCCCGTCACCCAAGCTGCACCCAAGCTGCAGCCCCACTGGTTGCCTCAGAAGAAAAAGGTCTATTTCTAATAGATCTATCATTTCACGGAGTTACCTCTCTCTCTCTCTCTCTCTCTCTCTCTCTCTCTCTCTCTCTCTCTTTCTCTTTCTCTCTCTCACACACAGATAATGTTGTAGCTCAAAGTAAGCCTTTGAAAAATGAAAACAATCTTTCAAAGAGGGTAATTAAAAATAAAACCTTGGTTACATGTGGAGAAAAGACAATGATTGTAACTCTTTTTTTGTTTGGGGGTGGGGGGGTTCAGGAATGTTCTGGGCCTTTGTTCAAGGGACCACAGGGACACTCCTGGCTTCAGCGCTAGGGTCTGAGGATGTGGTTCTCTTCCAAACCTGTGGTGGAAGGCACCCTGTAGGTATTGGAGGACATCAGGGTCACATCTAATACTGTTCCTGCGGCCATGCAGTGCCAGGGATGGAGGTAGGGGCGGACGCATGCAATGCATGCATATTTGAGCCCTGTGCTTTCTCTGTAGCCCTCTGACTGTTAGTTCTCAACCACCTTCGCTCTTAGTGCCAGGTACAAATTCAGACCCACATATCAAACTACTCTGAGAGTCCTGTGGTTAGAAAATACATGCCCTCAGTCCAGTTCCCATTCGGACATGCAAGCAAGTCCTGTTACCAGACAGAGTGGTTCATTCATGGGTTGCCTGTATGAAAGACAGAAAAGTAGTGATGGAAAAACCCAGCACTGTGCTTCATTGAAATGTTTCAGAGGTTTTGATTTTCTCTTTGTTTTAACACGTATCATTGATCCCAGTTCATATACAGACTCCAATTCATAGTGGCCGGCTTGGATTAACACATTAGGAGCATGAAACTAGGTGTATTGGAAAAAGATATCAAGTAAGAAAACCAACAAAATACAGGTGTCCATGTAACTGCTTTTGTTCTTAGCCAGAGTCTGAGACAAATCAGATGAGATTATAGTTCAGATCAAGCAAAGAATTTACTGAAATGAAGATCCCTCAGGCACTGAGCCTTACTGAAGAAGAATCTTAGCAACCCTCCAGCAGGATTCAGCCTTTTCTCCATGGGTGCCTCTGAAAACCAACTAAAGGCAATATCTTTGAAGAAGAAAAATCTGAGCTTCAGTATATGTATTTATTTCTAATTCTAGTCTGTAGATTGCAATCACTGGTTTTACTTTTGAAATCAGATTATTTTCTCTGTAACTATTAGTAGAAGGTAGTATCTTACCATGGCATGCCATTAGTAATGATAGTGTTAATACTTAAGTTTAGAAATAATTTTTCATTTTTAAAGAGTTTGCTTTATCTCTGTATCCATGAAAATAATAGAGATGCAAAAACAGAGACAGCTCATTTGTGATATCAGAGGGTATAGGGGAAATAAAACATTTCCCCCTCTGAGGTGAATGTATGCAATGTACTAATTTTTTAGCAGAGTCTTGTTGAGATAAATGTAGGAAATGATCAATGGTTAACATTGGCATATTTAGTAACTTTAAAAATAAAAGAATGAGTACTTCAAAATGCTGTGCAAATACAACATCTATGATAAAGATAATGTTTTGGTGGTTCATAGGTTTTAGCTAAAAAATTAAAGTGAAAATAGAATTCTCATAGAAATTCTGATATTAATTACATGAAATTCTGGTTTCAGAGGTCCTAAGATGCAATGTCCAATGTCCTCCTATTGTTCATTAATTTGCTCAAGAGGGTCCAGTAATGTCTCCATTGTGAGACTTATAGTTACTGTGTTTTGGCATATCAAATATGTCATGGGTAGCTTGCCAGGATTTGCCGTGCAGGCGAGATACTCTCGGTAGCTTGCCGGGCTCTCCGAAAGGGGTAGAGGAATCAAACTCAGGTCGGCCAGATTGGCTGCATGCAAGGCAAACGCCCTATCCACTGTGCTATCTCCAGCCCACAGAGTCATAAGATAAACAGTTAAAATATTGATTTTATAGTTAGGAGATTTAGTTAGTTCGTTCATATATCTGAAAAACCATGCATTACTACCGAATAAAAATGTCAAAATCTTTTCTCCAAACTAATCACATGAAAATGAATATTCACTCAAATATTTGCTAGCTATAGTTAGTTTTGAGAATGTACAATTGCTTCTAAGCATCTACACTATCTTGTTATACAAGCTTTTGAGTTGAGAAAATTGAACAGAATGGAGCTTTCGAGTAGTAATAGCCCATCAGCTAAAAGCAAGAACAGAATCTCCACTCTTCCTCTTCTGAGCATGAAATTCTAGGCAAACTCATTTTGAGCTTTCTCAGTCCTCTCCACTCATACAATATCTCTATGTGGATTTATCATTCCTCTGCCTTGTTTAAAAGAAAACTTTCTATTTGACTCTTGCCTTGCTTAAGTCAAATATGTTCTAGTAGACAATCTACCTCAATGATATAAACTCTTTTAAATTGCAGTGGAAATACTTTTCCCTTCCCCCAATACATTCCACTCAGTGCTCATAAGGAAAATCATTAGGGGCTTGGAATCTAGCCAACTGGTAGCCCACATGAAATTCTGTGATGAATACTCAGCACCTCATGACATTTGCCTACCTCATTCCCCCACATACACGTATATAGACACTCAACACTTCCAGGTGTGGACCCCAGAACAATATAAAAAATACACATCACACCTTTTAAAATCGGTATTTATTTTCCCACATGTGTTTATAAAAGGGAGTTGTATGGGAGATAATTTGCACCTAATTTAAACATTAGACTTATATATCCCAACAAGGCATTGATCTAACCTCCAATGATAGTAGCAAAAGTAAAGTTTTAAAAATCATGTATTCCTGGAACCTACCTTACTCTGTCATCCACTCAAAAACTCATTTAGTCACTTAGGCTGATTTTCTCATTGTCCAGGGTTTATGATGGCTTCCTTTTAAAATTAACAGCAATTCTCTCTGTTAAAGATACTATTGACCATCTTGTGTTCAGATAATTATTATTTATGGTTTTTTTCATTGGATCATAGTGAAATACACAGTTACAAAGTTATTAATAATTGGGTTTCTGTCATATAATTTTCCAACACCAGCCTTTCACTTTCTACACTATTTAGTTTTTTAAATCCAATACCAATTTTTCATGTGCCAGGAGAAAATCACCCTGACCATCAACATTCACAAGTTTTCTTTCCCTCAGAGCCTTGCTCCAAATTTACCGTAAAGTATTGTTTAATTAGGAAACAGTTCTAATGCTCTAGGGCATTTATCAGACATAAAAATTAGATCTTTTTTCTCAAGAACAAAATTAATTGATTCCTAAATAAGTAGTAAAAAATGCATCATCTCATAAGAACTGTAGCAGTATAGAATATGAACTTTAGTCCTTCTGGGTTTATTTTTAACCTGTGATCGCTCACCAGTTTGAACGGTCCATGAATCTATATACATATTAAGCGTTATTTTTAGAGGAACTTAATCATGAATCTCTGTAGATTATTTATAAATGCATGTAAATAGTGTTCTGATGAATTATGCTGCTAAATAAAAATGTAACCAACCAAATATTAAGAGATTTGTCTTATCTTTTAGTATGTGTTTTTAAGTAATCACTAGTAAACTTACAATTGCTATTTTAGACTCAGGTAATCTTAATTACTAACTGTGCTTGGTTTGAAAAGGAATTATTCTCTTTGTAAAGGTTGGGAATTTCATTGCTGTGATATTACAAAGAGAAAAATATATAAATGAAAGGAAACAAAAAGGTACATATGCCTTATTAAAAGGCAATCTATAGGAAATAAGATTTCTATTTAATTTCAGGTAACTTTAATGCCTGGTGTTTTAGCAAACAGTTTATTTCTTTTATTGCTTAATTTTATTCAGCTTTTTAATCTTAGAAAATGCATATTGGTCTAGAGATATAATTATCTGACAGTGTGCATGCACAGAAATACACACACATACACACACCTTACTCTAATTTCAGAACACAGACTTCAGGTCCTACACAATTTCAAATTTGAAAATTAAAAGGCAGTAAGCATTTGATATAAGATCTTGGGTGGTTCACTATCTTTATTGATACTGAAGTTATTGGAAGAAATTGTTATTAGACCCAAGAGTAATGCAAGGTGGAGAGGCTGCTGTGTACAAAGTGCGCAAAATTAAGCAGGCCTGGGGCTGCAGTTACAGCTCCAAAAGGCTGGAGATGGTGCTTTGGTTTCCCTTTCATTAGATAAGTATTGCAATCCCCCCAAACAGAAAACCCAATATTTACAGCACTTTAGAGAATAGTTAGAAGTGGGTGGTGTAAACAGATTAGTATATCTTTGGCATTCAGAGTGATCCTGTCTGTTTTATTTGTTTCAATAAGTACTAGTTACATCTGCAGAGTATACTGCTCTCTGCTCCAGAGAGGTCTAAAATGGGAATAACAGTGGGTGGGTGTTTGAGATCAGGAGGGAAGCATCCTGCACAAGCTGCCTGAGGGAGAAGCTTACACAACACCTGTCTCCCTTCTGTCCAATTCCAGGCTTTGCCATGAGGCTTAATCGCTTCACCACAGAGAGAAGGATGCTATCCAGAGAGCACACAGACATGGCAAGACTGTCATGTAAGGTGGGGAGACTCACTCTCTGGAGCCTGAGGAGGTTAGCATGTGTTCTATCGGAAAGCGAAAATGTAAACAGGAAAAAGTCATTGAGTCCCAGCATGTCAAGATAGAGTCCCTCCGTAAGAACACAAGCCAACCCACAGGATTACAGGCTATTTGACTGCAGCCTTGCAGGGATATCTAGGATGGGAGATTTTTCCAGGAAAGGGTACTACAATCCCCAGAGAGACTCTCCAAAAGCAATCACGGAGATGAAG